TAATATGTGGCGGCCATCTTGGATTTTGTACCTAGATGATTATAATATGAATATATAACGATGACCCAATGAAAAGTAAAAATTATGACACACCCTCTTTCTGTTTTATCAAATATGACAACTTTTCGGCCCTTTCCGTCAGTCTTCGGGTAAGGAACTAGAACACAATACATGTGTAATATGAATACACAAAACTATGGAAAGCCATGGCTGTCTGATATTGTTCTTTTTCAATTCATGTAACCATTTGGATAATATATGAGTTCACTTCGACTATATATGAATTGAAAACACCTTCTTATTTAACCGGAATCCATTGTATTAATCCACAGTTACAATATATGAAACCATACCGTCAGTGTATGAAACCGAGTTAGCAATATATAAGTTGATTTTCTCAATATATGATTCCAATTCTTCAATATATGGTACCAAAGTAGCCATGTATGGAACCAGATGTCCTTATATGAAACCGAATTATCAATATATTAATTCATTTTTCAATATATGAAACCAATGTATCAATTTATGAAACCAAAGTAGAAATATATAAGTTGGTTATTACATTATATGATACCAATTCTTCAAAATATGGTACCAAAATAGCCATATATGGAACCAGATGTCCTGATATGAAACCGAATTATCAATATATTAGTTCATTTTTACAATATATGAAACCAATTTATCAATGTATGGAACCAAAGTAGCAATATATGAGTTGGTTATTACATTATATGATTCCAATTCTTCAATATATGGTACCAAAGTAGCCATGTATGGAACCAGATGTCCTTATATGAAACCGAATTATCAATATATTAATTCATTTTTCAATATATGAAACCAATGTATCAATTTATGAAACCAAAGTAGAAATATATAAGTTGGTTATTACATTATATGATACCAATTCTTCAATATATGGTACCAAAGTAGCCATATATGGAACCAGATGTCCTGATATGAAACCGAATTATCAATATATTAGTTCATTTTTACAATATATGAAACCAATTTATCAATGTATGGAACCAAAGTAGCAATATATGAGTTGGTTATTACATTATATGATACCAATTCTTCAATATATGCTACCAAAATAGCCATATATGGAACCAGATGTCCTTATATGAAACCGAATTATCAATATATTAATTCATTTTTACAATATATGAAACCAATTTATCAATGTATGGAACCAAAGTAACAATATATGACTTGATTATCACTTTATATGATACCAATTCTTCAATATATGGTACCAAAGAAACCATATATGGAACAAGATGCCCTTATATGAAACCGAATTATCAATATATTAAGTCATTTTTACAATATATGAAACCAATGTATCAATTTATGAAACCAAAGTAGAAATATATAAGTTGGTTATTACATTATATGATACCAATTCTTCAATATATGGTACCAAAGTAGCCATATATGGAACCAGATGTCCTGATATGAAACCAAATTATCAATATATTAGTTCATTTTTACAATATATGAAACCAATTTATCAATGTATGGAACCAAAGTAGCAATATATGAGTTGGTTATTACATTATATGATACCAATTCTTCAATATATGGTACCAAAATAGCCATATATGGAACCAGATGTCCTTATATGAAACCGAATTATCAATATATTAATTCATTTTTCAATATATGAAACCAATGTATCAATTTATGAAACCAAAGTAGAAATATATAAGTTGGTTATTACATTATATGATACCAATTCTTCAATATATGGTACCAAAGTAGCCATATATGGAACCAGATGTCCTGATATGAAACCGAATTATCAATATATTAATTCATTTTTACAATATATGAAACCAATTTATCAATGTATGGAACCAAAGTAGCAATATATGAGTTGGTTATTACATTATATGATACCAATTCTTCAATATATGGTACCAAAATAGCCATATATGGAACCAGATGTCCTTATATGAAACCGAATTATCAATATATTAATTCATTTTTACAATATATGAAACCAATTTATCAATGTATGGAACCAAAGTAGCAATATATGACTTGATTATCACTTTATATGATACCAGTTCTTCAATATATGGTACCAAAGAAACCATATATGGAACAAGATGCCCTTATATGAAACCGAATTATCAATATATTAAGTCATTTTTACAATATATGAAACCATTTAATGAATGTACGGAACCAAAGTAGCAGCTTGTATATAAGTTGATGTTACATTCTATGATAGCAATTTTCATTAATGGAACCAAAATAGCCTATTTTCAAGTCAACAATTTAAAGGCCGAGGTCACTGGGTTCTGTTATTACAATGCATACACTTTTTCAAGAAATCAATTATTATTTGACTGAATATTAAACTTTGTGAGTAGATTAACCTTTATGTGTCCTACTGGCCATGCCTATTTTTGATCAAAGGTTAAGGTCGAGATGAACTTATTTTTTAAATATGTTTTTTGTTAATGGTCAGTACGACTCAATAGCTTAAATTATGACATACAACTCCTACATATATAACGATAAGTTTTGCTTGGCCAGCCCATTTTAAGTGAATGTGACGTGAAATTCAAATATTTCCTTTTTCAGAAAATGTGCGGTATGCAGTCAGTGAAGCACGCTGTTCTTTAAACAAGGAATATTGGCGCGAAACTGTAATACCGGTGCAAGGATATAATACAGCCTTTAAAAAAAGTCCCGTCAATATAATGACATTTGGTTCAATATATTGCTACTTTGGTATCATATATTGAAGAACTGGTATCATATAATGTGAAAATCAACTTATATATTGCTACTTCGGTTACATATATTGATAAACTGGCTTCATATATTGTAAAATTGATTTAATATATTAATAATTCGGTTTCATATAAGGGCATCTGGTTCCATACATGACTTACTTGGATCCATATATTGAAGATCTGGTATCATATAATGTGATAATCAACTTATATATTGATACTTCGGCTCCATACATTGATAAAATGGTTTCATATATTGTAAAAATGAATTAATATATTGATAATTGGGTTTCATATAAGGACACTTGGTTCCATACATTGTTACTTTGGTTCCATATATTGAATTATTGGTATCATATATTGTAATAACCAACTCATAATATCATATTGCTACTTTGGTTCCATACATTGATAAAATGGTTTCATATATTGTAAAAATGAATAAATATATTGATAATTTGGTTTCATATAAGGACACCTGGTTCCATACATTGTTACTTTGGTTCCATATATTGAATTATTGGTATCATATATTGTAATAACCAACTCATATATTGCTACTTTGGTTCCATACATTGATAAAATGGTTTCATATATTGTATAAATAAATTAATATATTGATAATTTGGTTTCAAATAAGGACACCTGGTGCCATACATTGTTACTTTGGTTCCATATATTGAATAATTGGTATCATATATTGTAATAACCAACTCATATATTGCTACTTTGGTTCCATACATTGATAAAATGGTTTCATATATTGTAAAAATGAATTAATATATTGATAATTTGGTTTCATATAAGGACACCTGGTTCCATACATTGCTACTTTGGTTCCATATATTGAATAATTGGTATAACCAACTCATATATTGCTACTTTGGTTCCATACATTGATAAAATGGTTTCATATATTGTAAAAATGAATTAATATATTGATAATTCGGTTTCATATAAGGACATCTGGTTCCATACATGGCTACTTTGGTACCATATATTGAAGAATTGGAATCATATATTGAGAAAATCAACTTATATATTGCTAACTCGGTTTCATACACTGACAGTATGGTTTCATATATTGTAACTGTGGATTAATATAATGGATTCCGGTTAAATAAGAAGGTGTTTTCAATTCATATATAGTCGAAGTGAACTCATATAATATCCAAATGGTTAAATAAATTGAAAAAGAACAATATCAGATAGCCATGGCTTTCCATACAAAACGGATACGGTATTTCGGTCTAAACTAGACATGTAAACAAATAATAATTTAATGCAGGGAGTTGTTGACAAGTTTATTTCCAATATATCAAGTAAATGCCAGCCTAAAATAATCGAATTCATAGATACAAAAGTAAACAATACATTATTAATTTTGTATATTTATGATTATTGTAGAAACCGAAAGTACAAAATGCCAACCTTCTGACATTTAGTTGCATTTGTTTCAAATTGTACATCAGTGGGCATATTTAAATAAAAATTGGTCAAATTTCAATGTCAAATTTTACATTATCTAAGATTACACTCCTTCTTTATGTGTGTAAACATCTGAAACCATTGTGGTAGAACTACTTTCACCAACATTTTGTTTCCGATGTTATAAAAGACAATAGCCAAGGACGTTCCGATTGAAATTTCACTACCTAACTGAATAGAGGACTGGAGCAGTACCTTTAGACGCTTGCAGAAATCATTATCAATAAATAGACAAATAACGTTGTTTTTTGTTTTTTTTTTTTTTTTTTTTTTTTTTTTTGCCGATTCTTACATTTTCATTCATTATCATACATTAATCGGTGTTGGAAAGATGTATAAGACCTTTTTAATTCATGCCGTTGGTGAAAAAAGAAAGATTATTCAATAGCATTGTCCGGTATGTATCGGAATACGATATCTAGTGTGGTTCTCCATCCTTTTTTAGTCTCACTCAAAATTTGTATGCATAGACAGTAAAACTACTGACGTCACAATGTCGTTTCTGACGTTAAAATATCGTTTTTACATTCATTATTGTAGTCATGAAATAAACATTGACACTTTATGAAACTATGTTTATAACGATGATATCATTCTTTTGTCTCTTCCTTGTGCTCAAACCACGTCTCATTGCTTTAAAGTCAAGACTTAATGTTATAGCTATTTCCATAATTTTTAGTTGTATTGAATTTCAACGTTAGCACAAATGATTCATGAATATAAATGAGAAGATTTATTCAACAATGTACAATGTACAACATCGCGACCACCATTAAACTGATGACGTCACATAATCGTTACAAAAGTGAACCGTTGAACGAATCGTCTGTATCGAAGCGGTTGGTTCTCGTGGTACCAATTTACCGTCTGCTTTGGAAGAAGAACTTACTTGGAAGATACTCACGCGATTTCTGGGCGAACTTACGATCCCATCGGATCTACTTTTTTCTACTCCTGGTGTAACTCTATTTCTTTGTTGTCGCCAAACAATCTTGAAACTTAAATGATTTTTGATGGCTTTTATTTTTCCCGCCAACGCTTTACGTACTGCTTGGTTGCGGAAACTGAAGACAAAAGGATTCCAAAATCCAGCAGTCTTGGCTGTGATAAGTGGTATAAGAGTGATCTCCCTCGCTATATAGATACTGGATTCAAATCCAAACACTTTGATCATACCAATAACGGCGTAAGGGGTCCAGGTAAATAAAAATGCAACTGAAAGAAAATAAGAATAGGGGATTGGTGAATTTATCAGCATTTTATGATGAAGTATAAAACAATAATAATACCTTTTATTAAATTATAGATAGAACCGTAAATAGTTCATAAAACAATGAAAATAGAATAACGTTGGTTGAAGTTATTTTGAAACAAAGAGAGGCTATTGTTCTGATTTATTCGAGAAATCTACATAAATTAGGAAATACATGAATGAATTAGGCTGGTTATGGTCAAAAACACCAAAATAGTCAAAGCGAGGCTCCTACCTTTAGAACTTTGCCAAAACAAAACAACAATTAGTATTTGAAATTTTTTTAAACGTATACCATTGTTGCGCAACATTATTTTGATGTGATAAAAATAGAATTTATCACTTTTGGTCAAGCGATGTTATTATTAGGTTATTTTTGTTGGCGTTTGAAATGTTGATTTGGAAATATAATTCTTTACATTAATCATGTTAATGTGTTCATTCTTTATCTATATGTCAATGGGCCTTTAAATGATATATTTCTCGCGATGAAGACTGCTTTCAGCCGCCTGAGCAGGTACATATTTTTATCGGACAGCTAAAATTAAATGGCATTTATACATGTATTTGTAAAAAAAATCTATGTCAATTTTAATATATCATATTTTAGTGTAAGTTGTACTGAAATTTTCGCACGGGGTGTATTATACAAGCTGACTGCGAAAATTTCAGTACAACTTACACTAAAATATGATATATTAAAATTGACATAGATTTTTTCTTTTTACAAATACATGTATATAGAACATATAGTAGAAATAATTATAGTTTTTAGCCTGATATCATCGAACAGACCGAAGCCTATAATGTTTGCGGGCTGATTGGTCGTTCATAACAATGCTATAAGGCCCTCGGTCAGGTGTATTATTTCTTAAATATAACGAATTGAGAGATCTTTTGCGTTGTTTTAAAAGTCCTTACTGTGAATAAAAGTTCCAGTTCGTATTCAGAAGCAGGTAAAATCTTTATAAATTATATAATTGAAAAAAAAACACTAAAATTTGACTTCGGCTAATACTAATTATGTCGATGCATATCACATCAAATTCATCAGGTAAAATATGTATTAAAGCTACTATCCCACACATTGTAGTTTGGGTGTTATTGAAATAAAATGTCATCAAAAAATAAAATTTCACTACAGGCTCGTACATTTCTATGCAACTAGGTGATTAATACATGTCTTATCCGACCAAAAAAAAAACATCTAAGTAAAGTATTTCCAATGTTTATCCTGCTGTAATGTTAAACCGTTGCAACGTTTTATTTTGTAAATTTCTTAGGTGAGCATTTATACCGTGCGTGTTACACTTTAGTATTCCACACTGTTAATATAACGAAATGACGTTATAGTTCTATTATTCTGTAGCATCAGGTTTAGCACGTGCTTTGGTTTATATGTGTAGGAGAAATTCGAAGTGTGAAATATACAATAATAGATGAAATAACACTTACATAACGTAATCAACATTGTGACAGCCACGTTTTTTTCTACTGAAGCATCGTGATGTAATGTTACTCTTTCCCGCCTTTTTTGTCTAAGCTGTGAATAATTTAATATATTAATATGTTAATAATGACATCAATAAAAATATGCTTGACAGTCTAACATCATACCAGAGACGCATACATCTATAGCTCAAGCTGACTTATGTTTCAATTTTGAATGTTGACAATAATTCAATTCGTCAAACCTAATTGTAAAAGAATAACTTTTTTAATTCATTTTACTTTTGAACGAAGTGCGACATAAACCAGTTATATGTATAGGTTAGCGTTCATCCGTGCTGTTCTACAGAAATTAGAAATTCCAACGAGGGCGATAGCGACCGGAGACTGTTTCTAATTTTTGTAGAACAGCTACGACAAATATTTACATACTAAGTGTCAAGCTTTATTTGGACTCATTATTATTTACTTTATTACATCACTATACGTTTATATAAAGTACTTTGAAAAATAGAAGGTGACTAATATAGTATCGACCTTTATTCTTCTATGAAAATTAACACACATAAGTTTTAAGAAATACAGCGTTTCCATTGGATGACAAATAAAGCTAGACATATTTATGGCGCTTTTTGCTACTAGTAAATATGTGTACGCACGTGGCGTTTTCAATGGTTAACCAACATTTTTATCTGTTTCATACATACATAATAGTTTAAAGGGAAAAAAATACAATATGTACTTTTACAGACATTAAGTACTTTTAATAGAAATTACACTGTAAATATGTAACATTGTTGTTTATTTTCTGTTATAATATTTTGCATTGTTATGCAATTTTTTAATGTCAGTCATATGATTATTATTAAATGAAAATTTCATCCCATTTGATGTATTGTTTTTTTATGCAATTAAACGGAGAAAAACTCCAAAACAAGCAATCGGCAGATCTAAATATATATAAATAAGAAATATAAAAATATTTTTACCGTAAGAAATATGGACGCGTAGCAAAATATGGATATTAGCACTGGTATTGTGAAACAGACGTTAGACAATCCAAGCATATACCCGATGTTACTAGGCGACCAGTCCGGGGTACAAGAGATTCCTGATGGTTCATAAACATAGCCCTGTTCACTGGCAAGTGGAAAAGAACCCCACACGAGCCCGTGTAAGTAGCAAAAATACGGCCATGACATTAGCAGTGCGGATATTGAGGAAACGATTAAATTGGCTTACACATAACAACATATCTCTCAATTGCGACACCTGAAATAGAGAAAATGCTGTATTAAAAGATATTGCTGTTATTAAATGGTTATATATCAGAAAATGTAATGTTTGTGATAGAAATATTGATTATGAATCGCACTACTCAGTATTCGTAACCGGTAGCCTATTTATATTAATGGTATAATAAGCAAAAGTGTTAAAAACTTATTTACATGCAAATGACCAGGGTAAACTCTGAAAGCTAAATTGTAAATGTAGTAAAAGTTATAACTTTTAATCGTTACGTTACTTTATTGAAGACTATAATTCACGTAATAGGGTGTAGAGAAAATGTCTCGTATACACAATTTAAAAAAAAAAATAACCAAAATTCCGTCCATTGCGTAAATTACTACATTTATACACGTAAATTACTACATTTATACACGTTAATTACTACATTTATACACGTTAATTACTACATTTACACGCGTGAGGAAGGCCAAGTAGAGTTGGGTGGACGATAAATGTCACTACAGGATATATGATATTGTTATATTTCATTCACAGACCACATGGTTTTCTCGTGCTTTATGAATGTCTCCTATATAAATAATATTGATGACCCAATTGAATGCCTCATGAAATAAATATTTTGGTTTATTATTATATAAGCTGCCAATTTAATTCTAAGAATTTTATCCAAACAGAGTATAATTTACGGGCAATTTTATGAAGGGCGCAAATACATTTAGAATAATGAGCATATTTAACACTAAATGGATTGGCTAAAAATTGAAATGTTAATTTTGAAAGTTATAAGTCCATTATGTATTGTTTTGTTGTTTTTGTTGTTGTTAATGCTGTTGTTGTTTATGCATTATAAAAAACATAGAAAATAATTTACCTCAGAAATAACATCATTTTATTAATTTTGTTCTATCTAATATATATATATATATAATTTCGATGCAAATGACTGAGATTTAGTTTTAACAAAACAAACAAGAAAAGAAACACCACTCCCTTTTATCATTAAAAACTTTGCAATCAAAATATTGAACTATTATTGTAAAGTGACAAGTTTTAGTAAGACGATAATCTATTGTCTATTTGCCTAAAATGCAACAATATAAAATACACCTGAAATATTCTAATGATGCCATAATATACGTGTTAACATAAATAATGTTTAAAAGAAGAAAAAAAAGTTTCCCCTACGCCCTCCAGTTTCAAAGCAGTTGACAGTAATTTTAGCCTATTTGAATACTCTTCAAAGCGGAAGTAATGCATTAGGGGTATACTACATCAAGGACTATATGGAATTCCGTACCTATGATTACAAACCCGCCCCTTATAATGATTTATAATTTTGTCGTTGTTGTTGTTGTTGTTGTTGTTTTTATTCGATTTTAGAGCCTGATTAATTTTTTTATCATAGCAGATAATATAGCTAGATTTTTATCATAGCAGATTATATAGCTAGATTTTTATCATAGCAGATTATATAGCTAGATTTTTTATCATAGCAGAATATATAGCTAGATTTTTTAAAGGAATTCTTTGTATTTGTTCCAGAATATCAGGTTCCTCTGCACATTTGATAAAACTGATCTTAGCAACGAGGGTCTGAAAGTTTACCGGGTACCAAATAGAATTTCCAGATACCAAAAGGTATATTCAGGAACTATAAAGCAGTTTTCGAGAGTATATGATATAAAGGGTATACTTCAAAGTTTACTATGACCCAGATGGCAATAACAGAAACAGCGTAAATTGCCATATTTTTACTTATTTAGTAAAATAGAAATAAAAAAAAGTCTTTGTGAATACTTACATGTGAAGAGCGAAGTTGCTGTCACACCCAACCATGTCATCAAAAATCCATAAAAAACGCATCCAAAATCCCCATAAAGCCATCGAGTTGCAAGCATGGAGGTCATAATCATAGGCGAGCCAAAGATTCGAACTAAAACTTCATCAACTAGAAGAAATGCAATTATTCTATTTACCGGACATTGTAATTGTTTTGTCTTCCACAGAGCCCATAGTACACCTGTACTTAACATGGAAGAACATACAAACACGAGAAGTAAAATAAATCCGCATAGTATGCTAGCTGTCTCGAATTTTGAATTTGTCGTCTGCTGTTTTACAAATACAAGAACCGATGTATGATTGCTAACATTGGCCATTTGTTTACAGTACGACAATCATAAAATGTCTGTCCACCACACTGGAAACTATCTGATTTACAATAATCACATTGGTCGAGGAAGTGCGCAGAAGACGAAAACAAATATCATTAAGCACCTTTTACTTGCTAATATGTTTCGTCAGTTTTTACAGTGAGACGCACCTTATTACTGGTTATTAAGTTAACGGTTACAATGGAATCACAGATATTATTTTACTGTCATATAGAAATATTATACAACTGTATTAGGAGTGTTTGCTAAATAAATAGTCTACTGAATTTCTATATGCTTTTCAAAAAGCAGCAATGAGGCTAATATACCTATTTGATATTAAGTCAATATCTTTCTAAGTATGTATGTGAAACGGTCACGTTACGGAAATAAAGTAAATTTAGTCGCATATGGAAAATTTGATAATGACGTTATTTAGCGGCATTTTTATTTTTAAATTCAACATATTGATTCAACATACAATTTAATCAACTTCAGTAATGGCTATCCGACGATAACATATCAATCAAATGGGCATATCGTTTACATAATTTGTTATTTAACAAATTAACGTATGTAATGCAGCATTGTATATAAGGTCTTGTGCAGAAAAGGAGAGCATATTACAAATATGTATAAAAATATTTAACAGATATGTCCGTGTAAGTTATTTTGCGCGAGGTAATGTAAATAGGATCAAGAATGTGGAACAACTTAACAATTAAACCTCTGCTAAATAACGCTATCGCACATTTGTTACATTGAAAGTTTTTGTACCAAAAAACAAGAACTGTCGGAGGACAGCATCGCTCGACTATTCGAAAAAGTTGTCACAAGGGTGTTTTCATTGAGTATACTTAGTAATAATGCTTACCTATATGCATACATAAAATCGCCGAAAAGGTACAAATGCTTGTTATCAAGATGTTTTATCGAGAAAATCACTGCTTTATTATTATGAATGCATAAAAAATTGTTCCAAAAAAGGCACAAACCCCTCAGTTGTTATAGATATACCAGCTTACACGCAAAAACTTAACCACTAATTTCTAAGTCGAAAAAGGGCATAATAATGAAAAAAAAAACTATTCAGAGTTATGAGACTTGTGCCAATTATGTAAGATAATCACAGAAAACAAATGGTGAAGTTTCAATGAATTCCCTTCGGTAGTTACAGCTTACAGGTTATGAATGCATTAAAATTGTTCCAAAAAAGGCAAAAACCCTTCAGTAGTTATGTAGATACCAGCTTACAAGCAAAAACTTTACCAAGAATTATTCTGAGAATAGTCGAGCTAAAATCCAAACAAGATTCAGCAAAAAAATGTTACATGATTGATAGGAGAACTTTCTATGATTATTTTCTTATGAATTATTGTTTAAAAGGAGTCTGTGACTTAAAAGTAAATACTGAAGGGAAAACCTATGAATTTGAGGAAAAAGTCCAAAGTAAGTACTAGCAATGGAGTAGAATTACAGAACAAAAACTCCAACTTTCAATTCTTAACTATCCTTGGTGAATTATTTTATTAGAATTTGGATACTGGGGTTTCCTCAGGTAAACATGCACAAGTCAGGAATACAAAGTTATTTGCACAAGTCAGGAATACAAAGTTATTTTCAAAACCTTGGATTTTTTTTGTCCCATTTAATACAAAACAAGAACTATGTACATGCTAAAAGGT